TCATCGGTTCTGGAGATCGACAGAACTGATGACTCATTCTTGCATCCAGTCAAATGGGGGAAAATGCAAACTCTCCAAAGCTACCGTAGATGCGAGACAAGCCCCCAGAGTCTTTATCAAAGGGATTTTTTAGTACGATGTGGTGTCAAGTACAACTGAAGAGATATATGCAGAGCCAAAGATTATGGCGGTTTCTCAACAGCTCTCCGGAGTACACGAAGGACTTGAGTGCGCGGTAATACCAGGTGTGGATCACAATCAGTAGACCGTGTTTACCAATTTCACATTGAAAAGCCACCCCTTCAGAGTCTTCGAGGTGTTCTCGTGATCTTCTGAACAAATCAAATGTCACTCCTGATCAACATGGTTTGTTGATCCCCATCCAACCCGCTTTGAATGGTATTCATCAGCTGCCGTTTTCCATCCATTAATCGTGGAGTGATTTCATGCAAACTTTCATGTGCGTTTCCGCTGAGCTGTTCTCAGACCTCGGTTGGGGAATTCCAGACGAAGCTTTGTTCCTTTGAGCTACGAACAAGCGGATTTCCATGCTTATCCTCAAACGGTCGAAAACAAATAAAAAACCCAAAGACGTAGTAAATCCATTGTACAGTCGTACTAATCAAAGTGTACTACCCAAACAGTGACGAGAACCATCAAGTCTTTCCTAAAAATTTCGCCGTTTCGGGCTTGAAATCACCAATTCCTTGGATTACTGTGTTAAACGATAAAAACCATCTGGGAATTGTATGCTCAGCAAGCTGAACGCATTCAAGTCACAAATGATTTCTTAAATGGCCTCCTACCAGGCGGATAGGTTCAACAGTTCCGGTCAGATTTCTGGCAGGTTATCTCTGTAATTCGAGTTCGTATGCTGTGATTTCCATACCAACTAAAAACTCTGTCTCTCAATAGAAATCGGTCCCCCCACAGCATTGTAGCGGACTAGGACCTAACCAGCGTGTTCGGATAAATTAACAAGCAAAAGTAACCAATGCAAAATCACAAAAATCACAATAGGAAAGGAATGAGTAGTCAAATGGGGACTCACGAATGCGTAGGTTCAGTAGTCCACTACACCGATCCGAATGCAGTAACTGGCTGTGAGAGGAAAATATTCACTCGTCGAGATTTCCTGCAGATGGCTCCGTGTGAGTGATATATTCCACGGTAGGAAAATTATTCACGGCTAAAAAAAATGTCACAGGGATTTATTGTGACGTTTAACAGTTGACACAAACACAGAGATTTAGTCCCACTGGTTCAACAGTCAACAAACAGTTCAACGGG